TGTGGATGGGTGGATGACTGGATATGTAAGACGCTTTGGGGTCCTTAGGGACTAGTAAAGCGCTATATAAATACAGGCCATTTACCTTTTACTCTTTTTTTTTTATAACCATTTCAAACTATTTACATAACAATCAGCTGTTCTGCATTCAATAAGATGCCACACAAATTATTTGTGCCACTCCAAAAAAATTATTTCCGTCTACTATAAAGGAGAACATCACAGCCTGATACCTGCAGATCTGACAGCAGCAGGTGTATCACTCCTTTTTCTACCTGGAGACAGCAGTCGCCTCATTGTTTTGACACACAACACAAAACTATCCACAACACTACACACTAACATGCTAAACATCACAAATCTCTCACATCTCAAAACTTGCTCTCTCTCTTTTTCTGCTCTCTCTCTCTCTCTCTCTCTCTCTCTCTCTCTCTCTCTCTCTCTCTCGCCATCACTCCTAAAACTTCCTTTTTGTTCATAAGCAGAGTGCTTGCTCGCGCTGTCCTTAGACAGCATGATGAAAATATTGAGGAAAAAACACGCCGTATATATTGTTTATCATGATTCTGGTTTTACGTGGCCTATCAACACAATTTAAAAACTGGTATATATCACATTGTTTCTTTGTCATCTTGAAGTGGTCGTGTGATTGGCTTACCACAACTACTTTATTCTTCCTCAGTCAAACAGCAGCACTCATGCGATTGTTTTCCCCCTAGCTCAAGGGGGGCAAAAATGATTTGTCTACCAGAAAGTGATTGCCGTCCGCGGGAGCGTGTACAGCTTCTTAAAGCTGTAGCGCCCAAATTACGTACAAATACTTCCGTGCAACTGATATAAGGTGCGGTAAGCTGAATACAGCTTCAACTGTCTGTTTGTTGAAAAATAATAATGCGATTCTTGTCAGTAACAGTAACGGTGTTGTAACGATAGGAATAGTAATTAGTTAGATTACTCTTTATTGAAAAAAGTAACGCCGTTACTTCTAACGCCGTTATTCCCATCACTGCTGGAGACACTGTTTGTGCAACTCTCTATATTTTTGCATGTCTTACGTTTAACTTTGTGTTTTCTTTGAGTACCATGATCTGTTCTTTCATGCATTATGTTTGGCAAAGTATTAATGTGGATTGCAGAGTTATTATCATAGTCCTTTTTGTTCCCCTGTGGGTGAATATTCTGAACATTCAGAAAGATTGGGGGGAAGAGATGTTTTCATAGATGTGAAGGCGTACACTTGCTGGGGAATCAGATGTTGGTATATCCTGTCTTTGTTGGTGAGTAGGTACATAAGAACTCTTAGGTGACTTTTTCCTACACTTTGTCCTCTTCTTATTGTGATCATAACCACAGCTGACCTGTTGGTAAGTGAAAAAGAAACAACAAATTAGCACATTCATATGGGACTTGCATTTATTGGATGTTTGTACTGCCATTATTGGAAAATCAGGAGAAAATCTGGAGAATGGTGGCTCTGGGAGATTTTCGGGAGGGGGACTGACATTTGGGATTGTCCTAAAAAAATCGGGAGGGTTGGCATGTATGAGTGCATGTACCAGGGCATCCAGGCCATCAACTACAGGAAGGCAACACCTGCCTGCGACGGTGACGCCTCTGTACCAGATGCGCTGAACTACTTGTATGCATGGTTTGATGCTCAGAATGAATTGCTTGTGCTGCCTTCTGGCAAGAGGTACGGGAGCATTCGGGCCTCACTGTCAGACTGCAAAACAGTTTCTTCCCAGAAGCCATCAAACTCCTGAACACTCAGTGACTGGGCTGATACACACAGATACGCACACACGCATGCCTTCATACATGTCACTACCAACCACTTATCTGCACGATCTCATACACACACACACGCACACCTTCATATATCAGTTACATTTTGCACATCGCTCAGTCTTTTGCACATTCTATTGCACTGTTGGGTCTGCACCGTCTTGTGTCGGTATCATTCTGTTTTTTTCTGGTGTTGCACTGTTTTTGTTTTGTTTTATTGCAATTTTGCACATTGCGCTTTATGCAGTCTGGTGATTGACAATAAACCCACTGGATCATGACCTTGAGTAAACTTAGTTCAGCTTAACTCAGTTGCGCCGCGATAGGCTATCAAACAAGCTCTGAATTTGATCCATCCAAAAGACATGTTTTTTGACGAGGGTTTTCAGGCAGAGGAATACTTGAGGAGTTAACAAGACTCTACTACAAATAAAACTGAGATGTAAAATTGTTAAACAATGCCTATCAATGATGCTATTAGACATACTTGGTTTTGCTGCAGGTAGAGCAAGACTTCTACCAGTGAATGCCATGAGAGTGGTAGTGGTAACTTTTTATCTAATGGTATATTAATCATTCTGAATCCAGACAGTGTAATGTCTGTTGATACACACTCACTACATTCCTGTAAATTCAGCTTTTTAGTTATGTACTACAAGCACAGCTTTCAGATTGACGTACATTTTTGGAGTTCATACCTTTATTTTGTTTGCACTGTTGCAGTACTCATGTTGTTTAAGTTTTGAGGTTTTTCTGGACTTCCTGCAGCATACTGCCAGAAGCAGGATAACGATCAGACCAACACCACCAACAGTAGCACACACGATGGTGCCTGATGAAAACAAGAACATTTCAGGTCTTGTTCATGCAAACACTTTAAATGATATTATCAAAGTAAGCATTACCTGTTTTGATGTTAGGTCCTTCTTCTGCTGTGAAGTTTAGGGCTGTAGGACAGATTGGAATATTGTGTCATATAAAGTTATCTATTATTCATATGAATAAGGATTGATAAATATATTTGTACCTGTTGAAAGTTTAGTGGGCTCTGCGGTGTCTATTCCTGTTGTTAAATGTGTTGTGTTGGTATTCTGATATGTCCTTGTGGAAGACACATCAGGTATGACCGTTGTCACAATTTTAACAGCTGTATAAAAAGAAATGGTGTAAGAGGCATTTAGACTATTGGTATTTTTATTTTTGTAAGCAATATATACAGGAAATGTATGGTATGTAATATTTAAATAAATGTAATAATTGTAAACATAAATAATTGTAAAACGCAAAAAAAATGAATCCAATGATTTTCAAATCTTATGAACTCACATTTTATTTACAATGGAACACAAAAAATATCAAATGGTTAAAATGAACATGGAACATCTCTCAAAAGTCTGGAAAACCAAGTAGTTATAAAAATAAAATAGCTGGAGGAATGCTTTGCAGATATTTAAGTTAGTTAGCAACACATCTGCACCATGACAGTGTATAAAAAGAGTATTTTAGAGAGGCCAGGTAATGGAAGCAGAGGTTAGCCAATCTAAAAAAAATAATGTCCACAAATTGTGGAACACTTTCAAACTAGTTCCTCAAGAATCGAAAAAAGTCTGTGTGGGCAAGAGAGCCTGAAAATCAATGACTGATGTCCCTGATGGCTGGGTGCTCAAATGGCACTGAATTTAAAGTAGAGATGGACCGATCCGATATTACGTATCGGTATCAGTCTGATACTGACGTAAATTACTGGATCGGATATCGGAGAGAAATAAAAAAATGTAATTGATCCATTAAATATCAAAAAAGCATGACATGGCGTAACTCGGCTCATAACCACAGCCATAGCTGGACTGGCCATCGGGCATACCGGGCATTTGCCCGGTGGGCCGCTGGCGATTTTTTGTTTTTATGGGCCGATGGATTTTTATTTTTATTTTTTTTTTTAAGGAAGGGTATCTATAATGAAAGGTGTTGGATTGGCCAATTGGTCATGATCGACTCTGGGCTGGACCAATTACAGCCGAGGAGGCCGGATGCACCCTCCCCCTTGTTTAGCAATCACGTGATTTTCGCGCATTGCATGCAGGGAACTCGTGGCAAAACAATCCAAGTACCGCATCAAATGCAAGCATTTGCAGCAACGCAAAACGTTCATTCTCCGGTTCCAACACCTTCTTGTTTTTTTCTTTGCCGCACAAAAAAGGAATGTACAAAACAAAAGGAGAACAATGCCGGTCCGTACAAAGACAGACTCGACGAAAAGACAAAGAAAAGATACGAGGAAAAAATCAAAGGAGTGAAAGGGTCAGACCCTTACGAGCACACAGAGTGGACAAAAGACGTTAGCGTGCTGCCCAACTTTCACCACGCTCAGATTTATAATTATACGGTTCTTGGAGTGAGTGCATACACTCATGAAGTTTAGTAACTTCAGGTCACTGCAACAAGCCCAGGTACAGTTTACCGACGGATGGGTACAGGACCTTGAAATGCACCGTGTAGAACGAAAGACCATCGTACGATACAGTAAGTTTACCAGTCTCACAAATCGTCGTCATAAATACACATTCGTTAACCGTTTATTAATAGGACCTTTGAGCTCAACGGTAATTAATTAGTAGTGGAAATAATTTCTGGTAGCATTACAGAAATGTAGCAGTGACAATAATATTGTATGCTGTAATCGCACTGGGCAATTAGTGATACAAAACAACTGTTTTATCCTGTGAATAAAAGTATATGTTTTTGTCAATGTACCATGGTAATAACAGAAGCGAAACACAATATTGTGTCAGGACAATTCACTATTTATGCACAATAAACAAAAAAAGGAGCATAGCGCGACAATTTCTGTTCAGCGCCAGACTTGCTTGTAACCTATATCACCAATTATGTTAAGAAAAATGACGATTAACTACTACAAAACTCTGACCTTTGTGGGAATGCTTGGAGCAGACTAACATGTGAGCTGGAGTGTTCTGGACGTTATATTTGGTATATCCAGACCATCCGTCGGCTCTTACTTCGGAAACATGGCTTAAAAATTTCTCTTCAACGACGTAATCCGATAACAAAAACGATCTCTTTACCCGTCGGCTTCCCGTGGCTGTCATGCGACCGGCTATTGCAGTTAATAATACAACAGCTTCTTGCCATTTTTTGTGTTTCTTTTTATCGCTGTGTAACTGATTCAATTGAAAGCCTGCGTGCGCTAGTACCTCTTGCCACAAGTTCCCAGAATCCTTTGCGGTTTTACCCCTGAATGACGTCACATTTTCAATCTTATCCTGGTGGGCCGGTCTCTAGTCAAAATGCCCGGGCCGATTTTTTGTCCAGTCCAGCCTTACGCATAGCATCGGAGCAGTGTGTCACGTGATAGAGCGGCTGTGTGTATTTGTAGCCTCGCTACCAAACCAGCATTTCATCTCCGAGGAAGTGATCCCAGAGAGAAGTAAAGCAAGTGTGTAAGTTCATCTCTGAATGTTTGTAAAGCATTCCCACGTTAAGCTTAACAACCGATATATGGAGCGACTGCTCTTCTCTCCCCTGCTGCTACTTCAATCAGTGAAACTGATTAATGATCAGCTGATCGGCTTTTCTGTCGTGATCCGTCTCTCTTGTTTGTTTATCGCCCACTTTGCGCCAGAAAGAGGAAACCAGCGGCTGAACAACAGCAGCACGTTTAAGCTTGATACAGCTGTTGTTAGAATTATTTAATATTACTTTCTACACAGGATCTTTTTCTACGTAGCTGACGGCTGTAACTGTGCAGGGGCGGATCTAGCAAAGTTTAGCCAGGGGGGCCGATAGGGCATGAACAGGGAAAAGGGGGCACAAAGACATACTTTTCTTTCTTATTCTCATTTAAAATGTCTAGCTTTTAATAAATAATTATCTGAATCTTACACCCAAAGTTTTAATCTTATGTAAAATATATAGAAGTCCATTACTGTATATAGTAACTGTTAAGTCTAATATACCCTAGTAAGCTATACGTACTTTTTCATTTGGGAAGGTACCATACTGTCAGTCTGCTTCTAGAAAGGGGTGTCAAACTCAAATACACGTGGGCCAAAATTCAAAACTGGAACAAAGTCGCGGGCTAACATTAATATTTATTAAAAAAAAAATCTTCCTCCAGATATAAAAATGAATCTTTTCTTATGGACTCAAACAAGTTTTGCTGAAAAACTGAATATGGAACAAGCAAAGCTTAATACTAAACAATATATATATTAGCTGTATAATACCAGTAGGCCAGCTCTAATAGTAATTTGGTATGGCTTCGCGGGCCAAATGTAATTAGGCTGTGGGCCAAATTTGGCCCGCGGGCCAGAGTTTGACACCTATGTCTGTAGATAAGTGATCATTATTAAAAATAATTATTTCTGTGCATTTTCCACACTGCATCAAATTAAAGTTGATTACGTCGATTAAGCATCATGAGGTGGAGGGTGGGGGGTGGTTCCCTATTTTTTTTTGCTGGGAGTTTGCAACCCTATTAGTTAGGTTGCTTAATATTTCTGCTAAGTACTCTTTAAAATACCAGAATAGGAAGGATGAGTAGGTTTAAGTTTATTAGATTGATCAGTGTTGCTGAACTATGAAATATTTTGGGTGCAGTGTATTTTTTACATACAGGTATAACAGAATAACCTAAAAATGTTCAGAATTTAGTCTTTTTGTCCAGAGAGCCCCACCAAAGTGTGTAATGCCTTTTTCAAGAGATGATTTATGGATTTAAAAAATAATTTTAAATCCACTATAATAAGTTAGAAAAGCTGCATTTTTCAAAATACTCTAATATGTTTTATCTAAAAAGATTTGAGAGAATAATAGAATAAAGAGGAAAATACAAAATAATAGAAATTTCAGAGCTAAAAGTAAGTCTTGTGAGCTCCAGTCAAACCAAAAGACAAAAAAAGTGAACTGAAGGATTATGAAAATTTTAAAATTAATTATTAGTATATTATTTTATACCGTCTATCTGTAACATAACTTCAGCAGTGATAAGATACTTGTATGGTAAATTTAAATTTAAATGTATTCCTCTTCTAGTGAAATATGAATGTGTAAACTTTACAGAACTTAAGGGTATTAATGCATTTTATTTAAAACTGATTATATAATACACATACCTTTCTTTACTGTTAGCTGTACCTCAACATATGTGTCAAAACCAGTCCGCTCCACAGCACACCAGTATTTCTGTGAGTCTGACAGCTGGAGATTGCTGAAGGTCACAGTGAAGGATCCATCCCCAGAGTCCATCAGAGCAATCCTCCCTGACTCTGCTCTTCTGCCAGGTTCTAGAGTAAGTAGTATGTCTCCTGTGCTTATACATGGATCTTTGCAGAAATACTTGTTGTTGCTCCCTGCGAGTCTGTGTGAGCACTGGAAGGAGACACTTCTCCCCTCGAATTCCTCTAAATTGATTATGGTTCCATCAGTAAGTGTACCTGCTAAAATTGAAAGCATTGAGTGCAGAATTAAATGCACTGAAATTACCATTTAAATATAGCTTAAAGTGGTAAAATTGTAAAGTCACTTACCATATAAAAGGCAACAGAGGAATGAATTGATCTTCATTGTGGCTGAAAAGTAACATCTATGTAGGGTTTTTTTCTTATTCTAAGTGGTTTCTTCTTGTCAAATATATCTACATGATCCACTGTTGTCCGAATTTGCCACAATCATGATAAAAGTAAACGTGTTGACAGGTACTTTCACAGTTTTCTATATAATTACATAACAGGGAAACCCCAGTGCAGACGGATGTGATTGGTGAATGGTGGAAGACAGACTTGCTTCTGCAGTCAAATCAGGTTTGCTCTCATTCTAACTTTCAAAGGTGTGTGGGCATAAAAAGGAGGAAACAGCACCAATACAGCCTCCTTTGTAACAGCCTCTTTTAACTGTGTCACCAACACTGGCTCACAACATAAGTGCTGTTTTATGTCACATCTGTTTATATTTAGACTTTGACTTTATACTTAGATTGCTCTAAAGCAGTCTGCGGTAAAAGAAAGGACAGAAGCTCCACCTACATGCTACTTAAACGTTGGCAACGGACAAACAAACAAACACATACGATATGATTTAAAAGCTGAACAATTACTAATCATAAAAAAGAACAAAGCTGACTTTTACCATATCAAAGCACCAAATCACAACAACAGTCATATCAAGGCACTTTATATTGTAAGGCAAAGACTCTACAATAATACAGCTCCAACAATCAGATGACCCCCTATCAGGAAGTACTTTGGCGATAGGGGGAAGGAAAAGGAAGAAACCTCTAGCAGAGCCAGGCTCAGGAGAGGGTGTCTATGTCTCTACCATTCTTCCCTATTAAAACAGTTTTGGGTTTTTTTCTTTAATTGCACTGCTCTCACAAATAGCAAATACTGAAGTTTTCAGTAGCACAGCTATATTTTTAATATTTTTAGTTTCTATCTCAAATCACTGAGACAAAAACTGACTGGTCGAGAGTTGGCAGGTATAGAGAAATCTATGTAGGACATCTTTTTCATGAGAAAGTCATTGTGTTTTAGAGTTGTGGTTTTGAGGCTTAAAAACTGCCTCTGACTTCTATCACTAGGAACATCCTTCCTGTAAAGTAAGTGGCAATGAGTAACAAAGACTTTCCAGCAGACATATATGTGTACATGTATGCAAACACATGTCTGACAGATGATGCAGTCATAGAGCATAATAAAATAATTTCCTATATAAAAAAACAAAAGAAGTCAAAGCAAAATTTACTTTAGAAACTGAAAAGATGTTTTCATATAATCATAGCAATTTTTTCTTCTTCTTGCTTTCTATTTAATTATACGTTGCTATACTTTATGAAATATAACTATACGTTACACAGACATAGCTTGCAAATAATGTTGTGGTATAATTTCTGGTGATGGCACTGGCATCTTGCAAGAGTTATGTCATAGGCTCTCATTGTGGAAGCATAAATTAAGCTTTATTTTAACACTGCTTTGAAATTTGTGAAGATAATCTTAGTAGCAAATGTTATTGTTTACGTTTTTACAAATAAATCCTTTACACTGTTTTTTATGCAAACATAAGAATGGGACACTCACATAACCCTTGCTATTTTGAGCTCTTTTTGGACCTTCAGAAACAAGTGATATGAGTTGATCGAGTAGTAAAAAACTGTTGTGTTGATGTACTTCAATGTCTTTATGTCTATAATAACCAACCTGCATTTTTCTTCCAGTGTCCATTGAACGCACTGGAATACAGGCACAGATGTTTTCTTTTTTTTTCTGAGTTTGGTAAATTTTATCATCAGAGAGTGAGTTCAAGCTGTCTATGTCCAAGTATGCAACAAATACAAAATTGTATTCACTGAACTTTGTTTCACTCTATATTGTTCTGTAGTCATCCTGGCCCCACCCACAGTAACATCATGTCCCACCAATGCAGCCCTACCCCAAATGAACACTTCTTTCATTTTAACATGTTTAAAAACGAGGTATGTAGAATTTAGCTACAGGCAAATTTGTTGTGTAACACAGCAGCTTGTTTTATCTTTCAGAGATAAATGAGGAGACTCCAGTCAGGCAAGTCTGCTGGACCAGACTCTCCAGAGTCTTTCATAAACCGTTCATGTTGTCTGAGTCTGCAGAGGGTCCCAGTGCTGTGGAAGATGTCATACATTGTTTCTGTATGAAAGACCCAGTGGCCCCCAGGATTACAGGCCTGTGGCACTGACTTCCCATGTCATGAAGACCCTGGAAAGACTCATCCTTGACCAGCTCCAACACATAACTAGGCCACATTAGGAACCCCTTCAGTTTGCTTACCAGGCCAGCCTCGGAGCTGAGGACGCCATCATCTACCTGCTCAATCATATTTACACCCATCTGGACCAGCACGAGTATTGTGAGGGTCATGTTTTTTGACTTTTCCAGTGCATTCAATACCATCAGGCCAACCCTTCACCCCCCACTCCCTTAGGGTGGTATCTGAGAGACGGATGTTGTCCCATAAGTTGTCCGTAAGGACAATGCTGGATAATACCTCCTACCCACTCCATGATGTGCTAGTACATTCAGTGAGAGACTGAGATTACCAAAAAGCACCACTGAACGACACGGGAAATCCTTCCTGCCTGGGGCAATCTCCCTGTACAACTCCTCCATCTAACACACTGCACACACTGCAATAGTTACCCCCATTGCACACGTTCTACAGTAAAATAACAAATGTTAGTTTCACAGGTTACAGTTAAATGTCAATCATATATATGTAATATATGTAATATTCTTAATATTTATAAGTGAGTGATCTGTATACATTAGTTACATTTCTTATATTTGTAAACTTTGTAATATATCATATTATTTAATTTTCTTATTCTGTTACTGTTTTGGAGCAACTGTAACCCACATCATTTCCTTAGTGATTATTAAAGTATTCTGATTCTGATTTCCTTCTCATTTTAAATGTTGTATTTTATTTTGTCCAAACTTTTTCACTATCTTTTTCCTTTTCCAACAAGCTTGAATTTTTCAGTCTAAACTGACCTTCTTTCTTTGTTCTTCATTGCAAAGTTCACATCAGTGTAATGTTATATTGCAATATGTATGCTTTCAATATAGAGTATATCTCTGTGCAGTGCTGTCTGTTTGGTGTCTTCACTGAAGAGATCACTAGGGGGCATCAAAATTCAAGTCTTTAGCCTAATGAATTGAGACAAACAGACATTAGCAATTAAATAAAGATCTTAGACACAATATTCATGCACATGCTCATAAACACAGTCATGAATGTAAAGAATACTACAATGACCAATCTTCACACAGTGGAGCTGTAGCAAAATCCTTCCCCTGATAGCTTAAGCCTGCAAAGGGGTATTTCACACTATGTTAAACCTTTGTTAACCAGGTTTTACTTACAATTTGAGAAATCTAGATTTACTGTGCTTGTCATTTTATGTATTAAAAATAGTGAGATAGATCCAAGAGTTTCTATCATAAAAATAGTGTTTTATAGCTATCAGGGTGTATGCTACATTTGATTGCTGTGGGTTCAGATGTTTGTGGTTTCTGTTGATGAGCCGAGATGGACAGTAACGCATTACAAGTAACGTGTTACTGTAATCTGATTACTTTTTTCAAGTAACGAGTAAAGTAAGGGACTAGTAAGGGACTTTACTATTGCAAAAACGGTAATTAGATTACCGTTACTTTCCCGTAGGAACGCTGCGTTACTGCGTTACTAAAACCGTGATTTTTTTGCGAAAATGTCTCACGACAGTGACGTAAGCGAGTGCGCAGTTAGTGACAACAGCTGTGTGCAGATCAACAATGGATCACATATCGATTGTGGGAGAGAGTATGAGCGTGCAGCGTTTAAAGCGTGGAAGTACTGACCTTACTTTGAGTTTGATTCCAAAAAAAGTGACAAAAACATTAGAGTCCACTGTGCGTGGGAAGAAAACTTCTTTTTACAACGAAAAAAACCCTAAACTTCAAAGCAAGCACCGAGTGCGCAACGACTTAATGGGAAATTCACAGAGAAACTCGCGGATTCTTCAACTGACCGCAGCACACCTGCACCAGGGTAAACCTCCGCCTACCGTACTCCTGCTTTACAGGTGAAAATAGAGCAACAGGGCCGCTAGTCTTTGACTTTATTTATTTTCTGCTGTGTTTTACTTGCATCTATTTGAAAGAGTGAGTGTAAACACAAAAAATATTTTATTTTATGTGCTGGAATGTGCAGAAAATAGGTTTAAATGTTAAACTAATTTATTCAAGTCAGAGAACGTTGCATATAATAAAATTTTTGCTTGATGCATAAAGTTAAAAGATTAAAACTGATAAAACAAGTTTTAAAAAGAGACTTTTCCATTTGATTACATTCTGTATGATGGATTATGCAGAAAAAGTAGAATTGGGCTGAAACATCTATCGCTTTATCACCTCTTCAGGTTGTAAATCGTGTTTTTAAAAAGTAACTAAGTAATTAATTACTTTTGAAAATAAGTAATCAGTAAAGTAACGGGATTACTTTTTTGGGGAAGTAATCAGTAATTAGTTACTGATTACTTTTTTCAAGTAACTTCACCAACACTGTTGATGGGTATTCTAGATGACCTTTTACTGTGGTTTTTCTGCTTGTCAGTGTCACTGTACCCAAGAAAAACAAAATCAGCACTACACTAGTTATCTTATCTACTGGTACTGTGCTGATGAGCAGCTCAGTACACAGTTTCATGTGTTATGAATAAATCTTTTTTTTTGTACCAGCACTGGTTTTATTTTGTTGTATTTATCTGTGACACCTTAAAGGCAGGTCCATGAAAATATTGTTGGGGACCACTGATCAAGAGGACAAAAAACAAAACAAAAACTTGTCATCAGCCACCTGCATCATAATGAGGGAACACAAGATTTTTCTTTTAGTATTTAGTATAAACACAACGCCAACAATGCAATACTTCAAAGTGATCTTCAAAGTGATTCTATTGCAGAAATGTGCCAGCTGAAAGACTGCATAGGCTACAATGTTGTACAAGTCTGACTGCTAGTCACTACTTTTGTTACCTCTTGAAGTTCAGAATCTGGCTCTGTTTCATTTTACAGTGATCCAATAACGTAATGTGTTTACAGTAATGTGTTTACCCAACACTTATCATCACATCTACTGGTACTCAAATTATTTAAACTGGTACCGGCTACTCAATTTAGTCGTTTGTAGGCCTACATGTGGAAAAATAATGATATAATACAGTTTGGCAGCCAATTATGATGGATTTTTGAGAGTTTATTTTCAATTTATCACTGGCTGCAAACACACAGCCTATTAGGTATATACATGCTAACATTAACCACAACAACAGATGCTTGTCAACACACACAAAAACACACACAATATACTACACTAACTAACTTTCACCCACTAGAAATGTAGCACATTTCCCCTGACGTGTTAACCATATGTCAGTGTCAATTCACACTTTAGCCTTGAGTCAACAAGCTATTAGACTTGTTCTTAACCCTATAATGCCTTTTGTATCATATTTGCTACATGAGTTTCTGAGACCTCTGAGAACTCATCAACATGATCAATACTTGCAATAATTTCAAAATGTTATGGACAACAAAAAGTTGCCAAAACACCCAATGTATCAAATGTGATACAAAAAATATGTAATAAAAATATATAATATACAACATCCATCCATCAATTTTTTTTCTGCTTATCCAGGGCTGGGTGCGGGGGCAGCAGCCCGAGCAGAGAAGCCCAGACCTCCCTCTCCCCAGCCACCTCCTCCAGCTTGTCCGGGGGAACACCAAGGCGTTCCCAGGCCAGCCAAGAGATATAATCTCTCTAGTGTGTCCTGGGTCTGCCCCAGGGCCTCCTCCCAGTTAAACAAAACCAAAGTATAAATTACAAAAACAGACAGAGACAGCCATGAAATGGAAACACTGACAGTACAATATGGTGTGCAACTTTAATAACAGTGAAGACTGTTGTTGATGATTAGTGAAGAAGTTCACTTTTCCATAATTGTCCATAACAAATTTACAAATCAAATCTTTGAAACTAATTCTGATTTATTTCTGATAAATCTAATCCAAACCAAAGTGATTTGGGCTTCTCTTCACCTGATTCACATGGGGCTCTGGAGACACAACGGTTTGCACAGCTCAGTGTATTTTTGCTTGTATTAGGTTCAGTTATTTGCTTTCTACAAGCACCATCATCTGTTCTTTCAAGTATGAAAGCTGTCAAGTTATGGATGTAGATTCCAGAGTTACTTTCAAAGTCATTTTGGTCGTCTGTAGGTGAATATACTGAACATTCAGGAAGTTTGGGGGAATAGATGTTTTGATCGGTATCAGAGAGTACACTACATTTGGTTGCCGTGGCATCAGATGTTAGTGGATCTGCTCTTTGTTGGTGAGCATAGACAGATGTACTCTTAGGAGACTTCTTACTGCCCTTTGTCCTCTTGTCAGTGTCATTATAACCACAGCTGACCTGTTGACAAGTAAAAAGAAAACAACAAATGAGCCCGATCTTACATGATCTGTATTTATTGGGTTTGTGTAGAAAATAGTTTTTTTTTAAATTATTATTAGAAAATTACAAAAAAAACCCTGGATTTCTGTAAGTATCCATACATAAACAATGATCTGGATCTGTGTTAGTCATCAGTCTAAACAAAGCTGATCAACTTCACCATAGTGAGGTACCCAGAGCTGTAACTCTGTCAAACAAGCTCAGTCCCAAAGATAACAGATTAAAGTGTGTTTTAAGTGTGTTTTAAGCCCATTTTTAGCAGTTTATGGGACAGGGTCAGTCATTTTTTTTCATTTCCTAACACTGATTTTTGGCTAATGAGGGCATACTGCAGAAGCTAAAGAAACACTACTAAGAATAAAACATGAGATCTAAAATATTAAATGATACCCTTGAAAAAGAAAATTGTTCATGACCTGTGTAGTATGTTAACACTATTGGAGGTAAAAATAACTTGAACTTTTTTTTATTTTTATTTTTTTTTATAAAGCTGTGACTTGTATTATGAGTATGAGTCTGTGGTCTGGGAGAGAGTCCTGTAACTCTCTGTCTGCAAAATACAGTATATAATGAGCAATGTTGAGCAATTGATTATATAGTTACTTGCACAACACCTGGAGCTAAGGGGGCAAAACAATCGCATGAGTGCTGCTGTTTGAT